TCGGTTCGAGATTGTTTTCGTTAAGCCTTATTTTTGTTGGCCTTAGCTTCTGGGGCTCAGGCTGGGGAGCTTCAAGTTCTCCTCTGGCACCGGGGATTCTGTTCTTTTGATCCGGGGAGTCGTTTTGTTTGTTTGCAGCCCTTGCCTTCTTTTCTGGCACAAGAATGAGATGGCAGGATCCTCTTGTGGTGGATGCTTGGTTGGTTAACACTTTCACGTTCCCTGGGAGTAGGCTGACCTTGACCCCCTAGCGAGCCGTTCGTATGGGCCTACTGCGCGTCAGCACTAAAGTGTTTATAATCTTTTCGGGCTGCTGAGCTTAATTTTCGCGGTATGTATTTAAATTTGGTATCATTGTGTTAGCGAGAGAATGCTCTAGAGGAATATATACAGTCACCAAATCCGACATGAGAACCACACCAAATAAGAAACTGTGGCGTTCGTTAGCCGTGAGCGTCAAACCGCGCATCAATGTTTACGATGTTTTTATGTTTGCCAACCCCATAACTGTTATTCGTGGTTTATTATGTACTGTATTTATTATGTATCATTCTGACCGCAATAAAATTCCCTACACGGACATATGAATATAAACAATAAATAACGGTGTCGCCCCACCCGCAGGAATATGGGAAGTGAGCTTAGGGTTACCCGCTCCAGCGCGCCCAGCTGCACATGCGCTCAACCACAACTGAAAAGTTTATACTCTCCTCATGTCTGTGACCCTCATTTTCGATGTACGTGTTTTATTTTGGTATCACTGTATAGCTAATGAAATGTTCTATAAGAACATATGCATAGCATTTCACCAAAGCTAACATTATGCCACCACCAACTAAAGAACTGCGTCCTTTGTTTCGCGTTCACGCTGAACTCGGCTAAACTCTCCCCATATGTTTCTACTGTTTGTGTTTATCAAGTCAAAACTTGTTGCATATGGTTTTGTTTTGTATCACTGTGATCGCAATAAAATTGTCTACAGACATATCCATAAAAGTTATACTACACGGGCGCGCCACACCCCCAAACACGTCGATGGCTCACCCGCCCAAACACCCATTTCCACACCCGCTACACCCAATACACCCGCCAAACAAAAATATTTTTCCAATGGAAGTTTTTGTGCTACATTGTTCATTTTGGTATCAAAATACTCGTAATAAGATGCACTATGTAGACACACCAATCTCAGCACTAAGAACTGGAATATATATAGAGGTACCAACAGCAAAGTATGAAGAAGTAATAACTTCACAATGATATATACAAAGTGTGTGTACTTGCCCATGATGTGATGATGGAAGGTCAATAAGTTGAGCATTTGTTTATCCACTCCACCTGCTTCAGGAAAATGTCCCTGAAGTTGCTCAACAGATGTTACGTTAGGTGGAGTGGATGGTTGCAGAGGTGCCATTTTTTCGCCGCCCAAAATACCCTCTTGCGGTGGTATTTTGTGTAGCATGGTGTGGCACATAGAGCAACTCCACATGTCTTGCACTGATACAGTCTTATTCCTGATTTGATGCAAACACGACACCATTTACGTTTTGCAATTTTCACTATAGCATGGGTCAACTTCTTGTTCAGCCTATCCTTTGGATCAACAATACGTGGGTTTTTCACTGGTGGAGGACAAGGTTCAGGTGCAGGCATTTCCGTTTCAGGTTCTGTGCCAGATGAGGATGTGTCTTGTGCTTGGCGTGCAGGAGGAAATAAAGGACGCCTCACTCCAGATGGTCCCGGTGTTCCCAAATCATCAGAAGGATCTTGGTAATCCTCAGCATGTGGGATAGGGCTTTCAGTGGCAGGCCACTCATCCTGGTTCCACCTCAACAGGGCCCATATTGCTACCTCGTGAAACTGGAGTAGGGTCAATTTCTTGGCATCAGTTGTGTACATCTTGTACAACACATAGGCATTGTGTATAGCCATCTGAAGGAAATAAAATGTGATCATCTTCGTCCACTTATGTGATTTCCTGGTGAACCTGTAATATTTTACCATTTGGTCGAAGTGATCAACACCTTTCATGTTGGTGTTGTAGTTGCAAATGGCAGTGGGTTTGTTCACAGTTACAATCTTTACTGATGCTGATGCGTCACGTTTCCTCACTCTCTTCCTTCGTTGTACTTCTTGTTTGTCAGCATTATGGCAGTTTGTGATCAATGACACCACTCTCTTGTCTTTCCATAGGATAATAAAAGTGTTGTCCTTGCGCCTGAAAATTGTTTGATCAACAGGGAATTTACGTTTTGCAAGTTGTTGCAGAACTTTGGGGCGCCACGCTGCAATCTGAGTGTTCCACAAGTGTACACACCATGTTCCCGTAGCAATTCAGTGAGATGGACAGAGTTATAGTAATTGTCCATATAAAGATGATAACCCTTGTTCAATAAGGGTCGTATAAGGCCCATCACTGTCTCCACTGTTGTCTTACCAACTCCGGCATACACCTCAAAATCAATAATATAGCCAGTCCCTGCCTCGGCAAGCATGTACAACTTTACCCCATACTTATCAGGTTTATTTGGGTTGTAAACCTTGAAGGATAAACGACCACGCCACGACATTGTTCCTTCATCCAAACTGAGTGCTTTATTGGGAATGTAGTATGTGCCAAATTTGTTGGTAAAATAAGTAATGATTGTGCTCAGTTTTATCATTCGGTCCTTGTTGTTTGGGGGAATTGCAAGCTGGTTATAACTATGAAAAAACTGGCCGATATGTTGGTATCGTTTTGCAATGAAAATATTGAAGGTCCTCATATGCCACAACCGGCTTGTTTGCCAGTACATTCTCATTGTCGGGAGTCGTGCAATACCCATCAACATTGACAAACCCAAATACCTGGCCATTTCCTTCACAGATACCTCTTTCCACAACCTCATGGTGCGCCTGGAAGCATTCTGAATAAATTGTCTGGCATACCTGTTCGTTTCCACTGTGATATATTCAATGAGGGCACAGGTCAGGAATAATTGTATAAATTGCAGGGTAGTGATTGGCACTGGGACAGTTAGGCCTGGTGTGGCAGTGAAACTATCTACAATTGGTGGTGTATTGTCACTAGACCAGGCATCATCGGGATTAGGCTGTTGAAGACGTCCTGCACTCCTCCTTATGGGTGGCTTGGGGCGGCCCTGATCCGCCGCCTCATCCTCACTCCCCTCGCTACTCTCCTCACTCGAAGATTCATCAAACTCATCAGACGTGGCTGTCCCCTCATTATCACTACTAAAATCACTCTCACGTTCTTCCCCCTCAGCATCTGCCTCCACATCTGATAAACGATCCAACAGCTTCACGTTCAGGAACTCAATTTATCCTCCTTGGTGGTTTTACTATCTTTCTTGGGCGTAGAAGTGCTCTGTCCTTTACCACGATCCATGTTTTCAGGTAATACGGTGATTGCAAGACACGGGAACGAATAAACAGGGCAGAGAGGTGAACAGGTTCTGGACGCGGGAGGGTGGCATATTCAGTCAGTGGAACGCGAAAGTGTTAAGCTGGGGGTGCATCACATGTGCCCAGTGGCTGCTTTACGCCGCTACCTGTGGGCCACTAGTTCTGTGATGGTGGATCCGCTTTGGATGGATCTGGTTTCCCTTGTTCCCTGTTCCAGGGCTCATATGTCCCAAGTTGTCTGCAGTGTCATAAAATCAAAGCAGACTGTGGTTTACCCTTGTGCCTGTGATGTGAGGAATTACAAGACGTTCGCTGCGGTGTATGGAAATGTCTTGGATCGACATTAGGGCACTGGGGTTTTGGCAGTCGAACAGGGTCGTGGTTGTCATGTACCTCGTGAATGTTCCAGGGCCTGTCTGGCCTTGTGTCGCTTTGGGGCATCTATCGCGGCTGACAGTTCCTTCTTCGCATTGAGATGTCCGGTGCTGCTACCTCCCGGTAAGTCCCTGTTTTTCCTTCTCTGTGGGTAATTAGCTTCATGGAGCCTATTTCAGGGAGTTAGGTGGGGGTAGCCCCGGAGGCTCCCTGACACCATCCCTCTCTCTGGTCAGCGGTTTCCATCAGACCTCGTACTGAGGGAGTAGATGGTGGGGACTGTCTAATCTGGCTCCTTCTCCCCCCTTGGAGGTGGGTGGGAGGTCCTGCTAATGAGTGAAGTACTAATTTCAACCCGTCCTTGACTCAAGTCCATTACATCCAGCGGTCGACCCCACAAACGCATTCATAAATTTTAATATGCTGTTCATTCAAAACGGGAATTTTCTCAAGTATAAATTAATATTATATTAGCATATTGTGCATATATAGGCATAGGTTAGGTTAGGTGTTTAGGTTCTGTTGGCGATTATTTGTATTTGTAGTACGTGGGTGAAGCATTTATAGGGTTGAGATTCAAACAAAATTCGTCAGTGACGAATGACACTTGTTCCGGATATCTTCGAACGTCAGCAGTTGTGAGTCGTGTGTAAACCGCTTTTCATTCATAAACAGGGGTTTTGACGGATGCATGGAATCACTTTTGGATCTTTGTTTGGAGGACGGGCTGACAAGTTTGCATGTAGAGTTGCTAGTTTTGATTCTTTCTTTTTTGCGTTGAGGAGTAGTGTCTTTGCTCTTCAGGGCTGTAGGTCGCATTTTACCAGATAGTTGTTTGTTTTAGTTCCCCTGTATTATACTGGAATACTGCCCTTGTTGATGGCGGAATATGACATACTTTACATGTAAAGTGCTCATATACTATCACTCCCTGTGCCTCTCTGAGGGGACCAGGTTCTGGCTTGTTGTCCCCAGTAGGCTCAGACCTCCAAGTGGCTGATGACCACAAATTAATAAAGCGCATATCAGTTCAGTTAGCTTCAGGGAGCCTCCGGGGCTACCCCCAGAAAAGGGCATTATATTACAATCAGTGCTGCCTTTTTTAATGCTTTTAGTAAGCATGCTTTCTTTCTGATTTTTCTTCTTCATATTTGATACAGTGGAAGTTAAATGATTAATTACATTTTAGTTGTATTCACTCTACTAAAATAACATTTTAGATTCCAGGAATTGTGTGGCAAGGCGTACTTGGCCTTGCGTAAACACTATCGCCTCATTATCAACCTGTTCACACTGCTGCTATCAACTGGCATCCCAGAACTGCAGGTGTGTTTCAATCTGCAGAGTTTTCTCTTTACTGCAAAAAGAAAATGCAAGGAGTTGTTGCCATTGAATTCTACTTTTTTAATTGTCTATTTTTTAGCAGGAAAATATTGAAATTTATAGAATTAGTCACAATGTGGAAGAAACAAATTACCCTTTGCACATACACACAATGAAAGTAACAATGATTCGGTCTGTCGTGGAGCCTTGTCAAGTCACAATTTCAGTCTGTCCAGGACAGATAGAAATGTTGTCACTTTTATTTCTTGTGTGTAGGTTGGGTTGAGGCTTTTCAAGTCAGCATAAAAGTTGAATGTTAATTATAATTTTTCATGCGCATTTAATGATTTTTTGCCTAGGGAAGCTTTTAAAAAATTTTGTTTGACTCTAAACTGTAAGGGTAATGATGCCAGATTTTTGCTATTGACATTGAAATTGTACCCAATGTTGATCACACTTGTATTGTTAGAGTAGTCATTAATAAGATAGCATATGATATAGTAAGAGCTGTTCAATATACAGTGATCATTTTGCAGACACAGGAGGATGTAGCCTACTTGCGTAAGACCCTTGCTGTGGAGGCCTCGGAGCAGGCGGCACTAGAGTACTTCCAAAACCAGTTTTGTGAGGCATACGGAGGTGCCTGGACAACAAAACTTGATTGGTTCTTCCATTATGTTAAGCATAGGTAACCCTCTTCTCAAGATCTGATATTGTCAGTGTTCTTAAGGTATCACAGTAGTGTGTTACAGCTGAGGATCTTCACCTGTGTTAGCCGAGAGGTGCATGAGGACAGGAAAACTTGACTGGTTCTTTCACTGCTGTAAACATTAGGAAGTGATTGTTGTCTGGTGTCTTGGTCTACTACTAGACAACCTCCTCTTCCTGATATTGGATTAAGTCTTGTAAAGGGACAGTAGTGGTAGTTGTCAGCCGCTCAAGACATCGGCCAACAGTGGCCAAGATTTTTAAACTGTGTTCATGAAGATTTAATTATCTCCATTTCATCACTTCTCTTATAAGATACAGTGACTGTGCAAATTATATAATGCTAGTCCACTGTAACTCATACCAAAAAAGTGTTTAGGAGGGACAAATGCAGTTTCTGAAGCAAAAGAAATATTGTAATATTTTATTTGAATTTACACACTTTTAACTCGAAGGATTGAAAGACGTCAAATTACTTATTGAAGGCTTTTTCTTGCTTGGATATTTCACTAATTATTGTGACTTTGATTGTCTAGGATAAGGTTGACAGGAACAATGGTTATTCTGTTATTCTCCACCATCATTATAATCTTCACCTGCTAGTACCATCATCATTATAATCCTCACTGACATCATTATAATGATTCTCACAACCCATCCCTTAAAAATGATAGCCGATAGCTACTATAGCTGTAACGTATGAAATATGTATTCTTGTAACAAAATCCATGATACAACCATTATCTGCTATGGATATCAAAAATCAAAATCAATGATAGAACCGATGTCTATTATGGACATAGTGTACAAAATACAAACTCTTGCATAAAAACAGTTATTTACTTGTACTCTTACAATTGTAATGTGTTTACACCAACAAATGGAACAGGTTTGCCATACAATGAAGCTAACCTGTCCTAGACATTAAGAAGCAATCCTAGACCTATCACCTATATAGGCCTAATTTAGTACATGTACTAGGCCTAGGAAAATTTAGGTTTAGTTTTGCCCTCTTTCTCTGGACCTCCTCAAAATTAATAGCAGAAAAAGATTAAGTTTTGAGTGCAACAGTTCATATTGTGATCTACTTTCCATAGTAGCTCTAGATACTAACATTTTTGCATAATAGGTTGCATCACCATCATTGTAGCCAGCTACATTATCCTCACCACCACCATCTCTCAATAATCAGTATAATCACCACCACCATCTACTCCATGGAGTTTATAAGATCTTTCAGTAATGAATCATAAAAATGTGCTACAATTTAAAACTAGGCCCATGATAGCACATTTTGTAGTTCAAAGACAATTAGATCCTCATTAGAAAACTACTGGAGATCTTTTCTCGAGTCAGAAATGTACGTGATATAAACTTGGTATATTTTAATCAACAAAATTAAGGTTAAATACAATAAAAAAGATATTATACAGTGTTTTGACTTGCGAACATTTTTTAACATTTTTTTTCTATTGAGAAAGGCAAAAGGGTTATTGTATTGTATTAGTGAGCATTATATTTTTAGGATCCTTTGCAATAGTTTTACATGCAATATTTTTTTTTTTTTTTTTTAGGAAATAGGTTTCTAGAAATTTTATACACCACCCAGTATATGAGGGGATGATGGATCTCGTACACCACCCAGTATATGAGGGGATGATGGATCTCGTACACCATCCAGTATATGAGGGGATGGATCTCGTACACCATCCAGTATATGAGGGGATGGATCTCGTACACCATCCAGTATATGAGGGGATGGATCTCGTACACCATCCAGTATATGAGGGGATGGATCTCGTACACCAGCCAGTATATGAGGGGATGGATCTCGTACACCATCCAGTATATGAGGGGATGGATCTCGTACACCATCCAGTATATGAGGGGATGGATCTCGTACACCAGCCAGTATATGAGGGGATGGATCTCGTACACCATCCAGTACATGAGTGGATGGATCTCGTACACCAGCCAGTATATGAGGGGATGGATCTCGTACACCATCCAGTACATGAGTGGATGGATCTCGTACACCAGCCAGTACATGAGGGGATGGATCTCGTACACCATCCAGTACATGAGTGGATGGATCTCGTACACCAGCCAGTACATGAGGGGATGGATCTCGTACACCATCCAGTACATGAGTGGATGGATTATGCTTTCCCATCATCGGGCTTAGGAAGCCTGTTAGGATTATCGACGTAACCTGAGGTCAATGACTGCCCTTTCCTGTGCTACAACCCCACAACAGATGCTCAACTCCTGGGTTGCTTTTTATTGCTAGGTTAACAAAGGCATCGGGTGAAAGGAAACTTGCCCAAATGTGTCTCCTAAATCGAACCTTGGGACCTTTCAAATGTGAACTGACTGATTATACCCCTATTTAACCCTTACACTGCTCCAATTGCTAATCTACAATTTCCTTCTGTGCTCCAAGCACCATCTATGATTTCCTCCTGTGTTCCATTCACCATGTACAACTTCCTCCCGTGTTCCATTCACCGTGTACAACTTCCTCCCGTGTTCCATTCACCGTGTACAACTTCCTCCCGTGTTCCATTCACCGTGTACAACTTCCTCCCGTGTTCCATTCACCGTCTACAATTTCCTCCCGTGTTACATTCACCGTCTACAACTTCCTCCCGTGTTCCATTCACCGTCTACAACTTCCTCCTGTGCACAATTTGCCATATGTGACTGATCTTTATAGGGTTTTTAATGTTGGACACGGGACTTCTAATAGCATAACAGTTTAATAGTTGATGTTTCTCATTTCATTAACAAATTGTAAGTCTTTATTTTCATATTCATTGTAGAATACTGTACTTTTGTGTGTTATTTTATCCTTGCTGGTTCTGGCAGTCAAAGTCTGTGTGTAAGGTGGGGATGAAAGCAGGTTTTTACAAGTGGGATTTGAACTTTTCTGTGACTTGTAGAAAACAATGAATTTAAAGTTATTAACAGTTGCCGAGGGTAATTCGGTTAATTTTAAGCTTCCTTGTACTTAAAAGTATTTATTGTAAGACATTCCATAAAGCAGCATTTAATGGCATAATAAATTTAAACATTATTGAAAGGTTCATTTAATCATGATGTACAGTTGATCAGTCTCATTGTGGACTGTTAAAATGCCCTGGTATGGTTCACTGTTTCAGGGATTACTTCATGGGAATTATATCTGACTAGAGCCTCCAGGTAAAAAAATAAAAAATTATTTTGGTCATGTTTCTGGCTTGCATGTTGGATGCACAATTTGGGACAGAGATCCAGATTTGGTAAATACCATCTGGAGAGAATTTTTTGTCAATGTTTAACTCGTATTTTCAACATACATATACAGACAGTTTTCCTTTAATCATGTGCAAAACTATTTTTTTAATATTAAAATCTTCAGTATGGTACATGTGATTGCAAGTTATGTAATGTAAATTAATGCTTTGGTTTACTTAAGCACACAAGAGTGTGTTACTTATCTGGTACTTAAGCATTGTGTTAACTCTTACAAGGTGTATTTCCACCTTGGTAGTCTATGGCTGCTACGCCAAAGGTATATTGCATGTATTACTATAAAGTACAAAAAAATAAGAAAAATCTCAGGCATATTGGTTATGATTGTACGATTTGTATGTTAATCTGCCATTATTTTTTGCAGATAAATCTCAGTTTGCATCATTTTAAAGATGCACCTTTATTCAGGAGGTATTTGATTTCAAAGGTGTATTGTTTTAAATTTAAAAAATGTGTCAAAATGTTTAAAAGTAAGTTTTGTTAGTGTGTTATGTATGGACACTTTCTAGGAATTGAAATTGTAGTTATAAAACCAGCCATCAAGTATCTGAATACATCTGTATATAGTATTAACATCACTGTGCATGGGAAGTTGTGAATGACTGTAAAGATTTATCATAGTTTAAATGCAATGCCAAATTTGAATTCTTCATGTGTGACTAGTTGCTAATTATGATGTACAAATGTGGTGAATAGCTTATTTCAGTCATATCTGTAATATCTAAGTTAATATTGTTATTTAAACTTCTGTTAGCTTTTAAGTTGCCATCTATTTCACTCAAAATAATTATCATAAATATTGTAAAGAAAAAAAGAAAAAAAAAAAGCATACTATTGACAAACATGAGATTAATTGCTATTAATACATGCTACACAAATGTATGTAAATTAATAGTTGAAACAGCTGCACTGAAACATTCAATAATTTCTTAAAGATTATAAAATTATGTACTAATGATATCCTAATGCTCTATATGGGTATTACTAAATATAAAACACATTATTGGGATTTGGGTGGACTGAATTTGACGTACTGACTTGTTCTTTGTCCTTTGGGGGGGGGGGGGTTCTGCTGAAATACTGATGAGGCAAATTCAGGAAGTGTAGCAGCAGCCACACTGATTACCAAGTTTTCTCAAGGTGAGTAATTCTCATATATTTCTTGCTGTGTCAAGTATCATGAGTAATTATCATCATACATTTGTTGCTGTGTGCATTCTCATGATGAATAATTATCATACATTTGTTGCTGTGTTATCTTTATTTGTCTCATTTGGTTCAGGTTGATATGTTGTTTGATATATTTTTCTACATTAACAGAACTTAAGTGAATTTCTTGTCAAGATCTTGAGACATTAAGAGTATTAATGTTGCACCAAGGCGGTGACACACTAGTCGACAACAGCACCTGTGTTGTCACTGGTAATGTCTCAAGAAAAATATAATTAGGAAATTTTTCAATAATAAATCTTTACCTGCTGGTGATTAATTTTAGTTGAATAATTGGGATGTATTTTTAATAATAATAATTTTCATGGGAAGTAAATTTTAAGTTACAAATTTTAATATATTTTTCTAATATATGTAAATCATTTGAAGAAGGTTTCCGATGAAGGTTTAATATTAATAAGAGTGCTATAAGAAGAAAACCTGTATTGTGAAGGTTGATCTAGAAATGCTAGAGAGCAAATGTGGATGTGAGCCTGGATGCTTGTCAATGTTTTATTGCACCATTTATCACTTTGTAGTCTCTCAAATTTGTCTAGTAAGTGCGTTGAAATTCTTAACACATTCTCTTATGGCATTTGACATTTTTTCTTTGTTGAAATGATTACTTTGTCCTGTCTTAATCTCTTTCATATGACTTGAATAAATTACTATACTATATTATTTTATTTTTTACCCCCTCGCTGTCCAGCTTGTTGTTGCCGTGAGGGGGCTTGGTGGGCAGCTGCCGGAGTGTGATGCTCCCTTTTTTTTTTTTTTTTTTTTTTTTTTTTTTTTTTTTTTTTGAAGACATAAAAGAGTTGTTACATTCTTGTACAGCCACTAGTATGCGTAGCGTTTCGGGCAGGTCCCTGGAATACGATTCCCTGCCGCGAAGAATTGTTTTTTCATCCAAGTACACATTTTACTGTTGCGTTAAACAGAGGCTACAGTTAAGGAATTGCGCCCAGTAAATCCTCCCTGGCCAGGATACGAACCCATGACATAGTGCTCGCGGAACGCCAGGCGAGTGTCTTACCACTACACCACGGAGACTGTAAACCCTTAAAGTGCGCAACCCTCCTTAACCCTTAAAGTGTGCATCACGTCATATGACGTGTTGGAAGTTGTTCCAGTCAACTGGCATCACGTCATATGACGTGTTGGAGTACTACGCAAGATTTAAATGGCCCGCGGATACACGGGGTTCACCACACCTTCATCAGGGCTCTTGTAAACAGATGCATTTTAAAAAAAAAAAATCCTGGGCCAAACTCCTGGGTGCTAGGGGCCTCAGTATTGAGTGAGCAACCAAGCCTGACGCACGCAGCATGAGCTAACAGCACTGCTGTTCAGCTTGTGACCACAGCATCGCCTAAAAATGCCATAATATACTTGTTCATGCTATTATGTAGCGATATTATTACAGAAGACCACTGACTGTGATAAAGCTGACCAGGGTTCTGATAATAGCAGGATTGTGGTGATATTTAGCGCTGTGGAGGGAGGAGTAATGCTGTGAGGGGGAGGGTGGTGGCGATGTCTTCTGTGTGTGGCCACCTTTTATTGACTGCACTCACCATACCAGCTTAGTGGTATGCACAAATCGCTATGGTGAACACAAATGTAGATACTTAAATACAATGTGTATAGAGGGTATAAACAGCAAGAGAAGGAGGTTGGGAGCCGCCATTTTGGTGAGGGCTGTCGCGTCGTCTGCATGACGTCACTGTGCAGACGACGGTGCTGTTTACTGGTTACCACGATGGTCTTTGGACACCATACCAGTTTACTTGTACAAGTATGGTGAATAAAACGGGTAGATATTTATATATAATGTGAGTATATAGCGTAATAACACCACAAACAGTATTGTTGGAGGAGAAATATTAGTGCGTCTGCCCTTGAGGGCGGCAGCCATCGGCTGACTGTGTGAGGTCCTACGTCTTTGTGCCTTTACTCGCCATACAAGTTTAGATGTACAGTTATGGTGAACAAAACATGTAAATACTTATATATAACGTCTGTATATAAAAGCAAAAACAGTATGGTGGGTGGAGAATGGTGGCAAGTGAAGTGAGGGAGGGAGGGAGGGAGTGGCAGCCAGTGGCGGGCTGCCACTGCCACTCAGCATATCAACTTAGTGGCTCGTTATGGTGAACACGAATGTAGATACTTATATATAGCGTCTGTATATAGTGAATAAAAGCAAAAACAGTATTGTGGGAGGAGAATGTGGGCGAGTCAGATGACTTTAGGGAGGGCGTGAGTGGCTGGCTGGTACACGGCGGTCACTCCTCGTTACTTTTTGACTCATAATAGCTACTTAGTGGCTCGTTATGGTGAACAAAACATGCAGATACTTATATATAACCTATGTATATAGTGTAATAACTGACAAAGTATTTGTTCACTGATTGATGAACATAATTGAATCAACAATATGCACACCATATTTTTGAGTCCAGCGATGATTCACTCATTTTATTATATAAATATTTCAAACTACATACTATTGAATAATATTACAGCAAAATAACTATGAAAAATCAGAGACATTGAAATAATTAGGTAATTATCTCTTTGTGGCAACTCCGGCCTGACAGCTGGCGATCAACAGACCGCCTGGGACGCACGCTGAGTCAGCGCCAAAATTTTTGCCAGACTTTCCTGCCCTATAGCGGGCAATATATGCCACTTGTAATTTTTTAATTATTTTTTCCCGTGATCAGTGAACACAAATTAACAGGTTAGGAAGATTTTTTTTTTTTTTTTTTTTTAATGCGCCTGTGGGGAAGAAAGGATATTATACCCCTAGCATGTTAAGGGTTAAGACAGTCCTCTGTCCTTTTGTAGCCTTGTGCTCCTGCTGCTGTCCTCTCTAATTCTGCTGGACACCTTTTCCTTTTTAGTTTTTCTCCTCCCCCTCTTCTCCTTTCTCCATATCATTTCCCGCTGACCTTGTGCCTGTTTGATCATTCTTTTGTTTTGATGCCCGGGTGTTTGAGGAGGTATACTCTTGCACCCATAGAACTGTAGTACCCAACGTCTCGAGCGAGGGGAACCTTTTATTGTCAATCCCCCTTTTGTCACTGAACCCAATCTCGACGAACTGACGGTTCTTAAGGTGGCGTTTGTGGGGCGTATACTCACGACGCACCCCTAGGGGACCCGGCATGATCAGCGATAGCTTCTTGTTGGATGTCCTGCCTCTAATTGTGGCTCCATGGTGGGTGTGGGGGCACATTCATAAATGAAAGTGTTACTTCTTGTCTTTGTCTGTGAATGTTCCTTTTGTACCCTCTTTGGCTCGTGGGGTGGGCGTCCAAGCCCCCGAGTCGGACTGTATTGGAAGACCTGGCTCTGTAGCCCCCGCTGCATTGGGCCCTGACCTTGCTCCTCCTTTGACCCTCCTGACTACTCACATTGGCTCCCCTCCCTCCTCTGTTGTTGGGTCGTTCCACAAGCTCTCAGTGGTGACCTCGTCCCCTGGCACGGCTCAGTCTCTCGTTGTGACTACTGCGCCTTTTATCCCCTCTTTCTCTGGGGGTTCTCAACGCCGTCCAAGCCACGGCCGCACTCGCTCGATTCCTTCCTGTACTGATGCGTATCAAGCTTGTTTGGTCCTGCTTTGTGGGCCAAATAGTTTGATCTCTTGATTCTATGCCTCCTTGTAACACGGGACTGGTATTAGTTCTACCTTGTCCTTTACCCGCCCGTAATTATGCTTACTTAAACTTAATTCCAAGGGACCCCAGAGCTAACTCTCAGCTGATTCCCACACCTCGTGGTCTTAGCTGCTCGATCGGCTTAGATTCTACAGCCACGTGACGTCATACTTGGTTCCTAGCAAACTCACAATATGGCTGGGAACCCAAAGACAAAAGCAAAACACACCCCAATATGGCTGGGAACCCAACAAAACTCAATCAACTTAAATTTACTGTGAACAAGAAACAGCCAATGCTGGATCTCGACAACTACTGGATGAACTGGATTAAAGAATCAGAGAGCCATGAGGGCACTACGAGAGTCAACAACAACTACAAAAGAAGACTGACAACGAGAAAGCAGGAGACGAAGAGCATAGAGAATAGCATAAAGCTTCGCTGTGAAGATGCTAGTCTCCGGAGGTAAGCGACACACATAAGTGCGATCAGGAAAAACAACAGAGTAGCCAACACCGTCTGCAGACTTAGACCCATCGGTAAAGACAGTAACGGAGTGGGAGAAGAAAAGTGCTCAAGGAAAAGGCGTTTTAGAACCGTAGGAGGGGTAAAAGCTTTAGTAATGCAGGTCAAGGATGTACAAAACTGCGGAAGGGGGACTCGCCACGGGAGCAAAGAAGGAACACGAGGAGAAACATTAGAAATACGAACGGAAAGAGAATCCTGTAAGCGAGATAACCGGACAGAAAGAGGGAGGTGGTGAAGAGGAACAGGAACCGTAGGAGGGGTAAAGGTTAAAGCACGACAGAGGCGAGAAAAAGGATGTTGTAAGGACCTCGCAAGATAGCGGAGACAGTAGCGATCACGGCGGTCCTGGAGAGACAGGAAGCCAGTGTCAACATACAAGCTAAGGACGGGAGTCGAACGAAAGGCACCAGAACTGAGGCACAACCCAGTATGGTGCAAAGCATCAAAATGGCGAAGAGTAGAAGGAGAAGCAGACGAGTAAGTAGGGCAACCATAATCGAGCTTAGACAGGACGAGAGAGGAATGTAAAGCAAGGAGAGTGCGCCTATCCGCTCCCCAAGAAGTATGAGACAATACCCGAAGGAGGTTAAGGGCCTTAGAGCACTCAACACGGAGGTAAGAGATATGGGGAGACCAAGACAAACGAGTGTCAAGGAATAACCCCAAAAGCTTCGCGGAATCTTTGTATTCAAGGGGATGACCATAAAGTGACAGAGGGACGAAGAACAACCCGTTTCCGAGTAAAAGTCATGGCACAAGTCTTAGTAGTAGAGAACTTGAAGCCATGATCGGTGGTCCAAGACGACACGGCATCAATTGCAAGTTGAAGCCGGCGTTGAAGGAGAGGTGAATCATCACCCTGACAGCAAAGGGTAAGATCATCAGCATAGAGAGCGGAGAAGACGCCTGAAGGAAGAGAGGAAAGAAGACCATTGAAGGCAACCAGAAAAAAAAAGTAGTGCTGAGAACACTACCCTGGGGCACACCTTCGTATTGCTGAAAAGAGGCAGAGAGAGCGGTACCAAGCCACACCCGAAAGGAACGACGAGAGAGGAAGCTGTGAAGAAAGAGAGGGAGATGACCACGAAGGCCAAAAGAATGAAGCTGGGATAGAACATGATATCGCCAAGTGGTGGTGTTAGCCTTTTCCAGTTCAAAAAGGACGGCAACAACAGAGGTTTTCGCAGCAAAAGCAGTACGAATATAGACCACCAAGTTCACCAGTACGTCTGTCGTGCTGCGGCACTTGTGGAAACCAAATTGAGAAGGGGAGAGGTGATGGTGTTCCTGGGACCACATCAGACGAACATTAACCATACGTTCAAAGAGTTTGCAGACACAACTTGTGAGGGCAATAGGGCGAAAGTCCTTAGGGGATGTTCCCAGAGACCCTGGTTTACAAATAGGGAGGACAACGGCATCGAGCCAGTTCTCAGGGACTGACGACGACTCTCAGATCCGATTATACAGACTCGGTAAATACTA